TATAGGAATAAACATTAATATATTTATATGTTGAGATTTACTATCATTAATTGTTACTAGTGTGTCATTATTTAATTATAAAATTGTAACGTTAATTGGTGGTAATGTTGATTTGTAACATTCATCATTTATTTTTGTTATTTTTAATTCTATAACCATTAAGATATGAATTAATGATAATTAAAGCAATTATGATTACTATTAATAATTATTTAACCATTTTAATATTACCTGCAATTATTTAAGCATGACTACCTTACTAGCTCAAGGCTACAGCAGTAAGGGCCTTGTATCCAGTCTCAGCCAAAGATCTCTATAAACAGTAGCTTGTTTCTTTATTTCCAAAATCTCCATCAAAGACATGACATCCAAAAACTATCTAGACAGGATGCAAAATTTGCATATGCATATGCTCTAACATTCAAAAAAGGAGTTGGCTGAAAGCAATATTCCTTGAACACGACCATACTTTGCTTTGAGTAAAATCAAGCAAAGGCTGGATGGCACCACATGTGCAAGAAACTTAGTCTATAATCATTCAATTCTTCCCATACAATTTTCAATTTCGTTTTAAGTATTCGTTTAAAGAAAGTTGACCTTAAACCAAACAATCAATTTTTTTCCAAGTTGAAAAAATGTGAGGTTTATTCCTTTGTTCAAACCCATCTTTACAATAATTCCATGATCCTCAGAATAATTTCTTTGGAATCAGAATTCAAAATACAAGAATCCACCTACAAATCCACATATCAAGAAGCTTTGGAACAAACACGAAGGACCATTCATGGTTGAAAAATCAGATAACAAGAATTGAAACGTTACTTTTGAAGTTGAATTCTTTAAATCGTTAGAAAATCTTCCAGAAAAGAAATGCAAAAGGAAATTTACAAAATGATAAAAGAAATCTACAAAATAAACCCATATTTTCTTCTTGGAATCTTCAACAATTTCAAGAGTGCCAAAACCTCCGCATTTTATTTAGATATTCTTCATTTGCTCAACGAGATCGTGCTTCATAGAAGCTGCTATAATATAGAAATAACAATATTGAAATTGCTTTGTTCACATCCATAACAAAATACAAAAATGTAATCATGTGGCTATTCCTACATATGCTTTATAATATCCTTAATTAAAACATAAAAAAATGATAGTAATCATCCTATCAAGGACTACATAGCAAATTAATTCCTTATAAACTTAAATAGAGAAGCTAGAGCAATTAAACACCCACATTTGAGAAATCCATCATTCTTGCTTCAAAAATGGTAGTCTTATCCACTTTAAATCAAAGTCCATTGTCTAATCAAAGGAAAGAGGAGACATTCTTGAACCAATGGTGCAGGGAACAACTTGAAGTAATCACAAGAGTACCACTATCTTCCACAGCCTAAAAATAGTAGATCAAACGAAGGCAACAAAAGTTTTGGCAAGCAATTTTTAACTACTAGAACAACACCCTAGTCTTTTCTCTTCTCCATCAAGTCTCCTCACGAGCAACTCTCCACCAGGTCTCCATTTTTATTCTTTCACTGTTATATTGAGTCTCTATTTTTCTGTATTCACTTTGAGTATGTCATTTCTCTTCTTCATGTTCGTCTTCATCAACTTGTATCTCGGGTCTATGAGATTTCAAGTTGTTAAGACATTGTATGTATTTTCAGCCATGTCTTTGAACATAAGCTAATTTCTTTTTGGAATGAAAAAGTTGTGGAGTTGTTAAACCTCTGTAATTGAGTAAGCATTTTGATATGAAGGACCAGCGAAAGCCAATTATATTCTTGGTAAGAAACTCTTGTTGGCATCACCTTAGGCTACTTATATTGACAAAACTCTTGCCAAAATTCATCATTGGAAATTCTAAGAGGTGCATCATACCTCTCAGACGTGGAATTCATCTTCCTTAGGTTTAACCTCTAGGGACTCATGAGAAGGAAGAATGCATGAGTATGATATCTTATGCTTTAGCAATAGGTAGTCTCATGCATACTATGTTGTTCAATAAACCAGACATCTTTCACATAGTGCGAGTAGTGAGACGGTACCAATTCGATCCCAGAGGAAAACTAGATTGATGCTAAGCATGTACTCAAGTATCTTTGGAAAATGAGAGGTTATATGTTAATATATTATAGTGGGGGTCTTTAAAACTTTAGATTACACATACTTAACTTTCCAAGTGGATATTGACTCAAGAAAATTTATCTCGGGTTATGTGTTTACACTAAACCAAGATAGCATTAGAGGTAAATCTACTCGACCTTTTACCAAGAGGTTGCCTGAACTTGTGTTCAAAAGACATGTTTCTTCTTTGGGTCTTAAGAGGATCCCAAACTTGCATTAGGCGAATAGGAGATATTGTGTTCATTGTGCTCTTGGAGTAAGACAATAAAACAATGTAATTCTTTCTGAATTTTACAAATGATCTATTATTCATTATTTTGAGCACACAATTTACAAACATTAAAGTCCAGATCAATTGTGAAGTATATGGTCACTTGGATACGTTCATGAGGACATGATCATAAGTTCTCACAATTAATGAATAAGTTCACAACTATTAAATAAAGTTGGGCACTTTATTTAGGCTGCAATATTTAATGAAATGATTTTGTAACAATCATTGTAAAATATTGGTGTGAAATAATATTCATATTGAAAGGATCAAAGAGAGATTTGATTAAGGTTGTTTTTTTGTCATAAGTTATCAAGTCTCTAGTTAACTATAGTTATGTGATTATTCTTAATCTTGAGTTTATTATAAATAGGTAATTAAATAGCTTTCATTCTTTGATTTATCAATGAGTGAGGTCTGATCTATTAATAGCCAATAACTCGGTATTTTAGGAGTAAGACTATTTAATTATCAGTATTTATGAGATAAATAATATGGATTTTGTAGAAAATGTTCCACTGATATGTTTTAGTACTTGGATATTGAAGTCAATGGCCAGTGCATGTAATCCATTAGAGAAACTATAACATTCAAGGGAATAAATAATTGATTGAGTAACAGAAAGTTCATCAATCAATTATCAACATTCTACAAAGGGGCTACGAATATTTGTGTTATAAGTATTATTAATCTTGGAGTTCAAGTTCGGGCTTTTGGTTGAATAACACAGAATTAGATAATCATTAGTTGATTATTATGAGCATTTATTAATAATAGATGATAGATCCTCAGGCTAATTTGAGACAAAGAATGTGGTAATCTCAAGAGCAAGTGAGAGATTGTTGAGTTTATGCTATTTTATCAAAGCCTAATTGGAATCAGTGTATTAGAAAAGCCCAAGAAGCTTGAGGCTAGGGTTTATTAGTACCCATAAATATATATATATATATATATATATATATATATATATATATATATATATATATATATATCATTTTAGTCATAGTCATCAGCCTCTAAGCTATTGTTGTTGAGGTAATATTAGATCCGAAAAACTAAGAGTGCACACACACTTTCCTTTTCCTATTGAGATCGTCTAGAAGATTTGCCAGAAGCAATCTTCGATAAGGAGGTCAGTTCGTACTTAGATGCTGAGAAAGTCTGTTCATGTTGTGACGCTAAGGAGGCCAGTTCATGTAGAGGAGATTTCGTGGTAACAGAGGCAAGAAAGACCACCACACCTACACAAGGGATGTTTCTCATGGGTATATGCTACAAGAGGTATGACCTTTGTAATATCCAAAAAAAAAGAGGTATGACCTTTGTGGTTGTGAGACAACGATGATTCGTAAATGTACAAATGTACTAGATCCTAAATTGCTTTCACTAATCCAATATATATATATATATATATATATATATATGTATATATATATATATGAGGGAGACATAATACACTTAATTTGCTTCATTAGCAGATGTTGGAAACTGAGGTGATTTCTCTGTCTTGTGGTTTAGTTTATATTCTCTCTATCTTGTGGTAATTTTAAATTTTTCTACATTATACATTATTAGCATGACCAAGTCATATTTTTCTATGTTGAATTATACTTCGAAATGGAAGTTTCAATTGATAATGTGTCGAGTTTGATGCATTGGCTCATGGATTACTTAAAATACTAGCCTTGATTGTTATCAGGTAAAGTTAGAAATAGTTTAGAATGGATTTTTTTTCAAGTTTAAGAAATGATAAAGCCCATGGGTTGGCCTTAGCCCATAAAGTTTTGTGGGCTTTTGGCTAACACAGGCTTTTCTTTGGGGAGCTTTTTGGTTTAGTGGGTTCTTAGCTTTGGCCCATTTGAATGATGGCCGAATGAAATGAGCTGGCCCATTTCAACAGTGTTAATTTCCCATTATCTGGAGGACATATTCATCCAATTCCTTCAACTATAATGCGTTATTATCAATATTGGAGTTTGCAAGATTATTTATTCAATTTACTTTTTGTGATTGTAAGGGCACAATTTGCAGTTATGTTCCAAACCCGTTTTTGTGACTGATTTAGCGTTTTATTTTATTTTATTTTTTTACCTTAAACACACACACACACACTATTATAAACCATCTAATATTCAGATTCGAACCACGCGGATCACAAATGCGGCAAAATATCTTTAGTTTTAATAGTCATGTTATTGTTAGTGAAGGAAATTAAACTTAATCTAAAACTTATACAGTTTATATGTTATCATATTGATGTAAAAGATTTGAATTTGTTGAATGATGCCCAAATATTTTTTTTATAAATATATGGTGACAGTATTAACAAATTTAACTAATAAAAATAAGAATTTATCATAACATTTATTTAATAGTTAATTGTATTATTTTCATTCTTTCAAAAATTAATCTGCTGACTTTAAGTAATTTCGTATAAAACAATATAGTTGATGTTTCAATAATTAATAGGGCATTAATGGCGCTTGAGATACATACGTGGTGGCTTGTGCAACACTAATCCTACCTAACTCTCAAAGGGTAGGACCTACTGACTTTCATATGGCAATAACTTTCGAAGGGTACTAACTACTAGGTCACATTCTCCAAGAGGAAAAACCGTTTAAAAGCAGAGTCCACAACCACATTTGTGTAGGAAAAAAAAAAGTTCTAGACTTACAATGGCCAAAGACTCTGGAGAAGTTCAGTTGTTTGGTCTTGGGGGAAGCCCATTTGTTCGAAGGGTGCAGATTGCTTTGAAACTGAAGGGTATCCAATACACTTACTTTGAAGAAGATATTAGAAACAAAAGTGACCTACTTCTCAAATACAACCCTGTTCACAAGAAGGTGCCTGTGCTTGTCCACAATGGAAAACCCTTAGCTGAGTCTCTTGTGATTCTTGAATACATCGATGAGACTTGGGAGAATTATCCCATCTTGCCTCAACAACCCTATGAAAAAGCCTTGGCTCGCTTTTGGTCAAGGTTCATTGATGATAAGGTATGTTACGAGTGTTTTAATTTCTTTCTTTCTTTTTCATAGGAACATAAGATTAAAATATGGTAACCCATGGAATGGATTTCATCTTGGAAACCAATATTTTTGCGTTGATTATAATGATAGCTAAATTATTTGTTGTATGGCTTAGTTACATATGAATTATGTTAAATTTATTTCACTTTTGGTTGAATTTACATAGTTTTTATTTTCTTCTTTTTTTCGGCTTATGCTTATAGTGAGGTGGTGTGAAGAAAATTACTAATCACAAGATATATATATTAACTTCAAATCCATGCTTAGTTGTGCTAATTGCTACCAACATTGTCTAGAATCAAAATCAAAATCACTCCCCATAAAATTGGCTAACATTTTTTAGAACATGGCATAAAAAATGTCACATCTTCATGCATCAAAATCAATCATCATTGTTTATTATGTAAAATTAATGAAATCCTTTTTTCTCTGAATATAGTGTCTGCCTGCAATATCTAAGGCTGCATGGACTATGGACAAGGTGGAACGTGAAAAGGGCATTGAAGAATCAATTGAGGCTCTTCAGTTTCTTGAGAATGAGCTCAAGCACAAGTTCTTTGGTGGAGAGACTATTGGTCTGGTTGACATAGCTGGTGCCTACTTAGCTTTCTGGCTCCCTGTGATTGAAGAAGCCGTGGGGTTGAAGTTGCTGAGCAGTGACAAATTTCCTAAGCTCCATAAATGGAGTCAAGAATTCACCAACAACCCTGTTGTGAAAGAGAACTTGCCCCCAAGAGATAAACTATTGGGCTTTTTCAAAGCTCGATATGCTGCATCCATCACAACTTCAAAATAGACCAAATTTGGGTATGAGAGAGATCATAATTCAGAGAATTATTAGTAATAAATCTTGTTAGGAATTATGACTCTAGTTGAGTTAGAAGAACCCCGGTGATAGAGTTACTTCTTTACATCTGAATTTTCATGTATCTCTAAGTTTTAATAATAAATGCGGTTTTCTTCTTTGTTTTTTTTTTATTATTGTTTTTGAAAAAAAAAAGTTATTTTCTTCTTTGCTTTTCTTATATTCTGAAAAATGACAATTGAAATGATAATGAGCTTGAATTTAAATATTAAAATTTTAACTTAATGTAAACATAATAGTAAAACTATACACACAAAAATGTAAGTCACTATTTTGATAAATGATTAACTACCAAATGAAATGTACATAGTACTAAATTATAAAGTCTTTCTTAAATTGAATATTTTAGTATTTAAATATAGGGCTTTACAATTGTCATGTCATATGACCGAATTTTTTTTTCCTAAAGACTCAAACAAGTGTGGGGGCTACACTTGTTTTTTTTTCTCCTTTGCTTTTTTAATGGGACCCATGGATTGTTTGTCTTGGTGGCCGGAAGAATCTAATTTCCTGTAACATAATACTTATAAACCCTTTAAATATAACTTTGTTTTGTAATCTAATACTAAGAAGTCTAAAATATTTGAACACCAATATGCGGAACACTATAAACAATTTAACATCAATATATATCATGTTTTAATTCATCCGATATAATATGCCCTTGCCCAACTAGCCTAAATGGTTTTTCGACAATGTATGAGGTACTTAACACATCCCTAATATATGTGTTTCTCTCGTATTTTTCATGCACGCATTATCTTTTCTACGTTACACTACAGTAGGGCTCACATGGCTGAAACGATTATTGCGTCACATTTTATATTCTGAAAGGAAACTGTTTCCCATAGTATAAATTGAGGGTTTATCTCACCAAATGGATCATCTTTTCCATTGTCTAGGTTTATTGTTACTCTGTCAAATATCAACCCTCCTTGCACTATTAGTTCGCCTAAGTCCAGCATGGTGACTCTTAAGAGTTGTAGTTGATACCGTTGCCTCCTTAGTCACATCATATCAACATATTTCACCTATTTAGGGGAAACAATGTCCTACTTTCAATTTTTGACTAGTTCAAAGAATATCAATGACCTAGAAGGTTGACTTACATGACACTGTGAACTCTAGGACGAACAAATTATCATAAGAGTAGGGGTTCAAATCTTGGAGAAAGGACAATAATCGTCATGCTACTACTGGATAATAATAGACTTAGGATTAATTTTATACTTATGCGGGTTCCTTTCTCTAATCGGATCAGAAGGATACATCTAATGTTTTACTGAAAAAAAAAATTTCTATATTGAATATAATATAAAATAAATAATTTATATTTTTGGATACATGATTTTTTTTATTTTAATCCTTAATACTGAATCTTATTTAGATGATATAATTTTGTAATCATAATAAATCTAATTAACAAATTTAAAACCATAAAGGATCAAGGGATAAATCATGTATCCACATTAAGTTATCGTAATATGAACTTGGTAGTAGTTATTGTTTTTTAGGGCAAACTTAAAATTTAAACCCTTTTAACATTGCAGCTAAATTTTGCCTGAAGTTACAATCGATCCTAATTTAGTTCCGCTGCAGCCGATAGTAATCGTTCCATTGTAATGCTTTGTTTAACCGACCAATTAAAAAAATCATGTGGGTTAAGATTTTATCATGAAATATCACAATTGTGTGTGTTTATTCTTTGATTACATTTGTGTATTGATCTCGGCAACATAAGAATTCTTCAACAAATGACATAATCATATACCAACTAAAGGTATGTTTTTTTTAACACCGTTTTGGTGTGATATATGAAGTCTAATAGCATAAATTTATATTATATATTATGATATTTTTAGTTATTTGTTGTAACTATCATATTGTATAAGCTTATACAACATAATCTTTTAATATATTAAAATAATATAATACTTAATTCAGTCTAAAAGAATAGGATTAGCCTAATAAAGAATTGTTATATTAACATCACTGACCAATACAATTATCAAGAATAAATATATTATTTTAATATTAATATATTTAAATAAAGGGTTCATCTAATCTCATGTTATATGAGAGATGATTTCTTATGTTATAGATACACATGCGTTGGAATCCACTATCTACAAAAAAAGAAAAAGAAAGAAAGAAAAATCACAATTTTCGATGGATCTATAAAAAAATAAACTACTCTTATGTTGCGGCTTTTTGACCCTTATAACCCTTTACTAATAATTAATTACCAAATTGACCTTCATTATAAACTATTTCAAAAATTTAACCCCCACAAAAAACATAACACTAATCTGCCCCTGTTTGACCGTTGACCACGAAGCCTACCCGGGTACACTCCTACCTACCCGGGTATCTTTTGAATTTTTTTGTTTACCCGGGTAGAAAGGTGTGTACCCGAGTATTGTTCTTGATTGCTTGAATTATTTACCCGGGTACGGACGAGTGTACCCGGGTAGATCTTGTAAAGTAAACAACCCTTCAATTATTGATAGCAGTGAAAAGTCATTACCTAATATCTGGGAAGCCACACAAAAAAGAATAAAAAATTGTGTTCACGTGATTCTCATGCCTCCATCTATAAAAAGGAGGCTTTAGCAACAAAGGCACCCAAAACACAAATATCAGATCCAATTCTAGGTCACCGTGTCTGGCACCATTGGCAACATCGTGGACACTGGTAAGCAACAAAGGAAACAATATATGAAAGCATCTTGTGTTTTCACTCCCATTTCACAAGGTTCGAAGATGTTGCTTTAGCTAAATGGATTTCACTCATTTCACTTCCACTTCACTTCCATTTCACATTTCATATCATTTTGAATAGTGAATGAGCTTAAAATCTGAGGATTTCAGGGATCTTGAAACCACATTGACCCATTACACATTTTCCAATTCATAGCCATACTGCTTGTCTGGCATGCTATCACACTGATTTGTTACTCTGTACTTGTGACTTGTGCTTTATTACCAAGTTTGTTACTCTGTACTTGTGACTTGTGCTTTATTACCAAGTTTGTGCTTGTCAATTTCATACAAGATCTACCCGGGTACACTCATCCGTACCCGGGTAAATAATTCAAACAATCAAGAACAATACTGGGGTACACACTTTTCTACCCGGGTAAACAAAAAATTTCAAAAGATACCCGGGTAGGTAGGGGTGTACCCGGTAGGCTTCGTGGTCAACGGTCAAACAGGGGCAGATTGGTGTTATGTTTTTTGAGGGGGTTAAATTTTTGAAATAGTTTATAATGAAGGTCAATTTGATAATTAATTATTAGTATAGGGTTATAAGGGTCAAAAAGCCCTTATGTTGCATAAGAGTAGTTTTTCCCTAAAATAAAACATGCATTTAAATTCAACTACTATTCAAGCTATTGGAACAACCAACAACGTTGATAGACCAAAACCCAAGTAATACCGACCAAAATGTCATTGTTTACCAAGTTTTTTATCTAAATGCTACGCGAACAATGTTATTTCTCAATCTCCCACAGGGGCAAGCTCGCTACCCGGTGTAGTGAACTCGGCTTGCTGACGTGTCACATTTCTAGTGAATAACAAGTACCAAGTTAAAAAAAAAGTATGAAGTTCGCTACATTGGGTAGAGACCAAGTTCGCAACTCCGTGTAGCGAATTTGGTGTCCACTAGAAATGTGAAACGTCAGCAAACCGAGTTCGCTACACTGAATAGCGAATTTGCCCCTGTATCAAATTGAGAAATAACACTGTTCGCGGGACATTTAGATGAAAAACTTGGTGAACAGTGATATTTTGGTCACTGTTCCAAAACCCAAAAGGTAACAATTACACAAAATAAATATACATGGGATTATCTTAAATTAAATTATATATTGAAAATATATTTAAATTTATTAAATTTTTATATCATTACGTATTCAATTTTTAATATTAATTATATTATTTTAATTTTAAACACCGCCATCTTATCTGGCAGATGTCATTGAATTACAATTACATATCTTTCCTTTTTTTAATTCTTTCTTTTTCTTCCGTCCCATCCGTAGCTGTCATGCACTGTGCTCTGTCCCCGAAATAGTACTGGAAAATATTTTTTCCTGAGATATTTATTTCGGCAAGACGATCAATGTAATATAATTTTAAAACTATATTAAAATAATATAAATTTAAAATATATTATCGAAGTAAGTAACGAATCTCCCACTAGATGAGTGTGGGACCGATCTCATGCGGAAGATTCACAACTTCAAAGGATAAATTTAACGGATAAAAAATTTAAAAATTTAAATGATAAATTACAGAGTTAACTAATAACAATAAATACCTCATTTCTGTTTCAAAATAATATTATTTTGAACTCAATATAAAAAATTTATCTGTATTTATTGTAAAAAAAATAATCCTTATATTATACATATGACAATTCTTTTTTTTTAATTGTTTCAAGAATAACATCAGCTGAAAATCAAAAGCTAATTCCCTTGAGACGAAAATATCACGTAATCATAAGTACAACCTTATTCAACAAAAATTTTTTTATACACATATGACAATTCTTAGTGCCACATGACAAGTTTTATGAGTTGCAACCCCAATTTATATTTGGGCACAACTCGTTTTATTAATTATATAAAATATTTGAAAATAATATTAAATTTTTAATTTATTATTTAAATTACAATTTTATAAAAAAAATTAAACTACGATTTATTTCTCATGTTTTTTTTTCCGGTAAACTTTGTCATGCTTTAACTATAACGAATATCTGTTTAAAATATAATTCCTAAACTTGTTGATTTTCGAGATGTGATTCAATCTAACAAATCTTATACCTCTTCCTGCAGGATTTATCTCGTACCCATAATATACGGCACTCATTACATTACTTGAATAATAAATTATAGAATTTCATTACTTTGTTTACCAAAAAAAAAAAAATTCATTACTTCAATAATTGTTTTAAAATCACATGGATCATTTTGCCTTTTTTAAATTTTAGGAGGAAGATTTCTTCTTTCTGGATAATCCTAATATTAGATCTACCTGTATTATGAGTCTTATGCAAATATTAAAAAATAGTCATGCTTCTAGAGGATTCTCTCTCCATAACTTGGCAGAATTTTTAACCCAAAATTTGAACCGACCAATTCACGTGACAGTGGATGAACTTACATAGAGAAACATTCACCCTCTTTCTAGAGAATAATACAAATTAAAAAAACCATCATCTAATATTTTAGGATTTTGAATTTAAATAATTTTTTATATGATATTAAAGTTTCAATAATCATTAAGATCACGAATTTTTTTTTTTTTTATATAACCTGAAAGTATCTTCATTCAACTTTCTCCAATCACTTTTCTTCGGAGTATGACTCTGAGAGCAATCTCTCATTGGATCAGCGGTGCATTAAACTTTGCTAACCCCGACTCAAGCAAATCCTTGAAAGCTTGCCAACTAAGCTACCCTTGAGAAATTAAATAAACACAAAATAAAATTAAATAAACACAAGATAAAATTAAAAAAAAATTGAGACAATATCAACACTTTAAACTCAAAAAATTCTTAGATGAGAATGTGTGTTAAAACCCAACGCCAAATTGAGAACGCTGAGTAGGCTTACAATTAGAACAAAAGCAGAAAAAGGAAAAATTCCCTTCCAACAGTCAAAAGAAAAGGCATAACAAATCAATTTCAATTTGTGCTTCTGGTTTGGTTTTTCTAACAAACCCCCTTTCATTCAAATTGTGCTTTATTCATTCTTTTTTCATTATTGCTGACCATAACAAGGCCTAGCAAAGTCCAAAACTTTTCAAGAAAAATATGCGCCAGAAAACATAAAATACTTTGGATTTTCAATACGAATTGTCAATACAAATAACATCCATGGTATGGGTCCGATTGTGCCTAGCATGTCTCACTATCGAGGCAATTGAAAACCCAGAAATTCCAATGACTATAGGAATATTTTGGAGGCCTATTAGACTAATATGGCACTCAAATTCAATTATTTCTTCAATAGTCAAGGATAGAAACCTAAAACAGTATTTCAAATATAATGCCAAATTCTCAACTCTGAAACCAAAATAGGAACATAATACGACCCACTAGAGCTCAAGTACAGTGCCAAAAACACATCAATCGAAATTTAAATGCTCTCCTAAATTGATCATCTTTACTTGCTGCAGCTAGAATCCTTGACAATAGTCACAGGGCAAGGGGCATGGGTCATCACAAAGTTGCTTACACTTCCCAATAATATCCTGCATTTTTATTTTCCAACAATCACAAACAGACATATCAATGAGACCCATGTTTTAATAAATAAAGCCAGATAACAGGAGTGAATTCTGGGTACCACTGCCCTAGTTACACTCTTTCCCCATTTAGAAATAACAAGGTATAAAAGTAAATAAATAAAAAATACATGATATACATGGTATTAAAATTTTCTTATTTTGAAAAGATGTGGTACTGAATTCAAATTTTTTCAGATAACAGAAGTTTCATCACAACAAAGAAATAATAAATTGGGAATATCATAAGGATTTTATAAGAGTTATGTTGTAAAAAATGTGATTGTGTAATGTTATAGAAATTCATTTTGCGTGCGGTAAATTTTTTTGTTTTTCTTAAAAAAATGTGGGTCCTACAAAATGTTGTGTGTGTAGAAAAATTTGTTGTGTCATGTTAAATGACAAATGAAATAAATGACAAATGCAAACCATCTGTTATAAATAAAAACTATGAATGTAGCTTCTAAAGAAAAGAACTACCCTAATAACAAAAGGGAGAAAAAATATCATAATTTAACTGCAAAATCAAATAGCAAGGTCCTACTCACCCCAAAAAGAACAAAAATTAAAAGGTATAATATGCCTATTTCCATATAATCTTATACGAATAATTCTCCCGAAATCATCGGTGAAAGGAAAAAAAAAAAAAAAAAGCAGCCACCTTTGGATTGTACTCAGACCCCTGCTTCCCATGACCAGAGAATCCAGCTTCAGATCTTCAATAGCATCCAAAAGTTTCTCTCTTGCATCACCCCAATACAATTTTGTAACAATGTTCACCTAAACATGAACATAATAATAATAATAATAATTTCATTCACAAGTGCGAAAACTTGGTTGTCAAAAATCTCATTATTTCAAAACTCTCCAAAGAGAGAGAAAAATAGAGGGAAGGGGGAAAAAAAAAAAAAAAAACCTCTTTTTGTCTGGAAGCAGTGTCAAGCATATCAAGAACCTCAATATCAATTTGAACACTGTATTTGTTCATAACCTCAGGCTCTCTGAACTCCTTCAAAGGAATAAGAGCTGCAAAAAAAAATCAAAATCAAAGCCGATCAGATTTTAGATCAAAACATAGAAGAACATAAAAATAATTAAAATTTTACAATCAATAAAAAAAAAAAAAAAAAATTACTCACCAGAACCAGATTTGGCCCAAAGCTGGTTGCGGGACTCATCTAGAGAGTTGGAATTGATGTGGATGATGTAAATGGTGTCACCTTTGTCAGCTAAGTTCTCAAGTGCCCATCTCAGAGCATTCTTGCTGCTCTTTGAGAAGTCCAAAGCCACACCGATACTCCTATCCTTTGCCATTTTTTCTTCCAAGTTTGGATGTGAAATGTTAAGAGACAGAGTCTAACAATAAAGAACTTCAAAAGAGCAAAACAGTGTTGAAACTCTTAAAAGTAATCTAAGGCCGGGGTAATGATAACGCATGTAATATGTATATCATATTTAATAATGATATTCATTTCACCTAAACCATTAACCGCTTTTATTCTTTTCTCTTGTTTTCATTTATGGCCTAGATTAATTTTATGGGAATGTCACAGAATTTTTTTTTAAAAAATATTTCGATCAGTTTAATTTTTAAATATTTCGATCAGTTTATTTTTTCGCGATTAATTCAATTCAGGGTCAAGATTGAGATTTTAATTTTTTGCTAAAGATAATTGAACAAATGCTCTTACTCTTCCATCTACTCAACTCTTATGTATCAATTGAATTATCGATAAAAAAAGTATTTCAATATTTGTACGAGTAATACAACTCAAATATATATATATATATATATATATATATATATATATTTGGATTATGATTATTTTATATCAGTGTAAGTTATACTTTCCATCTTGATCGTTGATCTCACTTCTTCTATCTAAGGACTCTAATTTTTTAGTAATATGAGATATTGGATACAAGTAGATCAATATTCAAGACTGAATATAAAACTTCTAACTTTTGCACTGATGTAAGAATATATGCACTTATATATATATATATATATATATATATATATATATATATATATATATATATATGGGGAGAGATCTTTTGACTCTAGAGTAAGACTCTCAACTCTCACTCCTCATCTCAACCGTTGATTTCCGTCTATCTAACTGTTATTATTTATTTGAAATAAATAAATAATTAATTGTTATAAATAATCGTTAGATGGACGAAAATCAACGGTTGAGATGAGGAGTAAGAGTTGTAAATCTTACTCTAGAGTCAAAAGATCTCTCCCTATATATATATATATATATATATATATATATATATATATATATATATATATAAGAGTTATGTTGTACGAAAAGTGATTGTGTAATGTTATAGAGATTCGTTTTTCGTGTCATAGTTTTTTTTCTTGCTTCAAAAAGTGTGAAACTCACAAAATGTTGTGTGTGTAGGAAACTTTTTTGTATCATGTTAAATGATGAATGTAAATCCCTATATACACACACACATATATATATATATATAAGTAAGTAAAAAATTATAAGAATAATAAAACAATGGGTGTTGTAAGAAAAGTGATTGTGTAATGTTATAGAGATTCGCTTTGGGTGCCGTAATTTTCTTTTTTTTCAAAAAGTGTGAGCCCCACAAAATGTTGTGTGTGTGAAAAGTTTGTTGTGTCATGTTAAATGATAAATATAAACCCCTGAAACAATATACAGAGAATCTAATAAAGTAACTGGACAAATTAAATTATTAAAGCAATAATGCTGTGGTAGTGATAATTCTATTGCGCGTGTTTGTGCCTCTCATGTTTGATGATTTTACTTGCATTGCAACCGTTTAACATCACCCATCAGAGGTTTACTTAAATCAGGTCCGTTTGTTATTGATCTAGTAGGGGGCTCACATGTGTGGGCCGTAGGTGATAATGGCTTTGCTTACCGTATTATAAGGACTTTGCGTATCGCAATCAAAGACCAAAACCTTGGTAAGGGAAAGAAATGAAAAGAGAACACGAAAAATATCAAAATGGAAAACCGAAAACCACATGTCACGTTGATGGTAAAAATGTGTGATTTGCTTCACAATTTGCACGAAAACTTGTTCCGCTTTAGTGCTTTACACATCAAACTCTGCCGTACCATCAAAACCGCGTGAAACTTGGTTTCACTTTATATTATTGGGGGAATAATATTCTCCTCTTATATGACAAAATTTGTTGTTCCTGCAATATATAATAATAGGTGGGTCCATCTTGAATTTTTTTCTCAATTTACTATTTTATAGATCCCAGTTATATTATGAATCAGTAGGTGAGAAAATTTTTATCTTGTGAAATGAGAAAACTATTCTCCCATATTATTAGATGAAAATCACAGCTAGAATAAAAATGGTGGAAGAGAGAAAAAAAAATGATTGAAATCATGATGTAACAAAACCAACTAATCTAATTATTGTGGGCCGATGCTAGAAAGCCCACAAGCCTAAAATATCACAAAGATAAAAGCCTATAAGACTAGAAGCCTACTAAGCCTTATGGATTAGGCCAAAATCATGAATCATACAACTAAATTTAAAAGAAGATAACTTAACCATTAAATGGGCTCCCCTAATGTAACCCATTTAGTAGGGAAGTCTCTTGTACCTAAATTAAGAATAAACAGTTGCAAGATATACATGTACAATATAAGATCATTAATAAACAAGCCAAAAGACATGTTTACTAGGAAGAATGAACAAATTACCATTAATAAACTAAAATATAATTTAGTGCAATCACTAATTTTCATTCAACAAATTACTGCTATAATTAAAATTACAATAATAATTAACAGAAAAATGTAAGAAATAAACAATATTCCAATTACAATAGGATTTTTGCATATTGCTTACTGTTATGTAGGAGCAATGCAATGAGCAATCGGAAGTAAACTTTCTATAACGTTCATGTAGCTAAGCCAATTCCACGAGTATATCGAGCAAAAAGATCAATTACATAGTCAAGAATCAGCTAGTTAAAAGCGGTAAATATAATTATCCTAAACATTAAGAAACATTCACATAAACTATTGCTCAAAACCGAGAAAAAAATTTGTGAGAGGAGGTGAAGACTGAAGAGTCAATAAATCTACCTTTATTTTTTAAAATATTTTTCATACATGAAGAATAATGAGAATAAAAATTGAAAGGCTGAACTTGAAGGGAGGGACGACGTGAATACTTATTTTTGTCCTTAACAAAAACCATCAGAGAAGGAAAAATAATGAAAAATGCATTGAAGTCCCACATAGGATATAATCAGCCCAATTCTCCTTGAAGTTTCACATTAGAGAGCCTTTGCTCCTTCTCCTCCCTCCCCCACTATAAGGAGTCCCTCCTTATGTGTTCAGCACAGCATGACTCTTCTAAGAGTTGCAAAAGACATTTGGGCTTAACATTATGCTTGTGATATATAGTATTTTTTTTTTTTTTTTTTTTTTTGAGAAAAATTGAGGTGGCTTTCCAACTTGGTTCCATACACCAAGTTTTGTTACCTTTGAGGTAAGTCTATTCATCTTTTCTTTTAACTAATAATTTTCTATTTTTGCATGCATTTATGCTCTTTATTTATTTTATTAGGAATTTTCTTATATAGTTTGGGATTAATTTAGCTATGACGTGTTAATCTCATGGTTTTTGTCGGGTCATTTTAGCTATGACAATTGACAACTTGATGACCCAAGCTTATTTAGATTTATCATTTTGTGTTAATTATTTTAATTATAATAATTAGATATTAATTTAATCATTACAACTTATTAATCTCATAGTTTTTTTAGGGTTATTTTAGTTGTGAGACCCAAACTTCTTTAAATTTGATAGTTCATATTAATTTGGTAATTGTTTCAATTTTAGGGTTAATTTAGACATCACAGCTTGTTAATCTGATACATTTTAGCTGTGACAACTTTGTGATCTAAACTTATTTTCTTTAAAACTTAACCATCAATTTTTATGCTAAAAAAATTCTTTTATTTTAAAATGATTAGTTGAGCAGAGACAGCTTAGGGTGCGCATGACAACCTTCCAGGAATCATTTTTTTTTAATTTCTGTTCCCGGGAACAGAAATGGATAGAAAACTCATTTGGTAAAACCAGTTTATTTTTTTGTTCCTGGGATGAACCAGATAAATTTTTGTGCTGGGGAACAGTTAAAGAATCAAAAAATTTCTGTTTTTTTGTTCACGGACACAAAATGAGAAACACTTATCTCTCTTAATCACTCTCCATATCTACCAGCATCACCACCACCACCATCATCCCAACACGACCACTGCCACCATCGTCGTCGCCACCGTCGTACCACCAGTGCTGTCGTGACCACCCCCCACCACCACGATGCCACCGCCACCATCACCACCTCCTTCACCCATCACCACCACCACAACTACCACCGCTGCAACCACCACCACCACTATCACCGTCACTGTCACTGTCACCACCATCAATCACCTTTACCGCCATCAACCACCACTGCCATCATCGCACTCACTGCCGCCACTGCCATCATCGCCATCGCCACTACTACCACCACCACAACACCACTGCTACCATCACCACCACTGTCACTAACCACCACTATCATTGATGTAGCCACCACCGACACCACCGTCACTACCAACCACCACCACCATCGTCACCGCCACTACCGTCACCACCACCACCACCACTGTAACCTACCACCACTGCCACCGCTGTAGCCACTGCCACCACCGCCATCACCTCCATGATGTCATCACAATCACCATCATCATGCCACTGCTACCATTGTCGCCTCCACCAATGCCACCAACCACACATGCCACCAACCACCATCCCCACCACCATTGTCGCAGCCACTGCCATCACCTCCACCACCACCATCCCCACCGCCACCGCCACCATTATCACCGCCATCGTCGCAGCCACCGTCGTCACAACCACCACCACTATCATCACCATGTAACTGCCGCCACCACCGCCGCCACCACCACCACAACCACACCATATGGAAAGGAAAGTGATGATCCGATTTTTTTACATTTAATAGGAATTATTTTTTTATATTATTTGTTATGTTATCAAACGCAATTCTCATTCTCAGAATAAAAATAGAACATGTTGTCAAACACATTTTTTTCTCAGAAACTGTTCCAAAGCATAGAAATAGAAAAGAATTGTTTATTTTCAGAAACAGTGCCAGGAAACAGAATAGTTGTCATGCACACTTATTAATCCTGCAATTATTCTTTCAAATTTTGTTAGCTGCGACAACTTGATGATCCGAAACTTTCAAATCCAATCAAATAAATTTCCTTAAAATTATTTCAAAGTTAAAATCAACAAACACACAAATATTTTCTACAGAATAACGTACCTTTGAGTTCCCTATTGCACCGAGGGATACATCGAGTGAGATTTTTTCCATCAAGCCCAAAAGTCATTTTTC